AAGATAGAAATATAAGCTTCATTTTAAATACTTTACCATAGATATATATAAAGTTCTAATGAAGATACATGTGTTTTAATAATCGCTGAGCTCCGACCCCGCACAGACTGATCGACAGAGCAACTCTCTCTCAGAACAATGCTTATTTCACGTAAATTCATAAAAAAACACATATGTTTTATATGTCTCAAGAAAGATAGAAATATAAGCTTCATTTTAAATACTTTAACATAGACATATATAAAGCTCAAGTGAAGATACATACGTTTTTATAGTGGCATTCAGTAGCTTGTCGGTCATGGAATGCAGAAGCCTACGCACTTGCCAATATAGTGTGTAATTAACAAAGATACGCTTATAAAGCCTAAAATATTATATGCCTTCAGAAAGACAGAGATATGCTCGTTATTGTGAGTGCACCAAAGGAAATATATCTTGTTGGAGGACAAAGATATATCAATTCTAAAATAAGTTTCGACTCTCGCTCGGGCGAGAGATAGCGCGACTCTCGCCCCATCTAAAATGGGAATGGAAAATTACAATTAGCATTCAAATTTGACCGGACTAATCTGGTGTCTACGGCGATGGGATGGATACTATGGGTCGAATTATGGTATGTGAGGATGGGTTGGTGCCTGGTGATAGCTAATAATTGTAAATCTACCACATGGAAACTAAGCATTAGTAGCATAGGAACTATGAGCATTGTGACAAGTATTATGGTATCCCAAGGACAGGTTGCAACCAACATCAAATTAAACCAGATGTGGACAGATGCAACATAAGAAGAATACCAAACTGAATTAAACCACAGATGCATCAGCACATTTACCTACTCTTCTGGATCTTCAGACATGAGAGACATAGTGGCATTACTAGTAAGCCATGGTGTGTGGGATAGGCACCACAATGAGAAAAGCTAGATAAGCACCACAGTGAGGGCAGATAGTGAAAGACAGTAGCTATGACGGAGTAGTGGCATTACTAGTAGGCCATGGTGTGTGGGATAGGCACCACAATGAGAAAAGCTAGATCAGCACCACAGTGAGGGCAGATAGTGAAAGACAGTAACTATGACGGAGTAGATGTGATAATGCTGATAATGGAGCACCGCTTCTGGTTTTAGCTTCATAAGAGAATCATAAAAAAATAAATGTAAAATTGCAATGAGGAGCAATTCTTTCATATGCAAATGTATATAAAGATAATTAAAAATGAACCACTTCCAGCAATAAAATTTATTGACAAGCATCAAGAAAATATATAAACATTAAACTATGCATATGACCTATAAATATCAAAACAACACCATCCTTATGCATAAAGCAACATTTTTTATATCATTTAACAGTATTTAGAAATCTATAATAGGCAACACACAGGGTAAGATATCAACAAGTATTGAGTACATGCAATAACTAGACCTGCATGAGCACGTCATGGATAATAACTATGCTA